CATTCCTGCTCAAAGTCCACAGTGTCAATGGGATCCAAAGGGTGACTCCGCACATACTCCAGGGCAGCTGAGAAAGGAAGAGGACTCCAAGACACAGACAAGACACAGACAAAGCCCTAACCCCAGGAAACCTCAAGTGTAATTTGACCTCCTGAGCATTTAAACCCTGGCACACCACCTTAGAGAAAGACACAGGGAAGAAAAGAAGCCTGTGTTCTACGGGATGCTTCTCAAGCCAGTTTCTAGGATTCTTTCACCAGAGGCCACCCCCTCCACAGCTTAGTGCTTCTGTGCACAGTTAGATGTCCAGAAGGAAACTGGGATAGGTGACAGAAAGGGCAGGTAGAGTGCTGGCTGAATGGAGGGAGTAAGGGAGGATCCGGTTACGCGCAGGTGTCTCACCGCTCAGCTGGGGCTCAGTGTGGATCTTCTTACTGGCTATATAGCTCACAAGGAAGGAGAGACGCCTGGTATCCTTGAGGCGGGAGGCCAAGCCATACAGCAAGGTCCCAGTAGCTTTATCGATGGTGGAGCCCAGGGTCTGCTGCGCCTGGGGTCATGAGGGGGTAAGGGGAGAAGCACCATGTCCAGTCAGAGGCAAAAGCAGGACAAGGGTCTGAATCTGAACCCAGCTCCACACCACTCTCGGGGTTATCAACAACAGCACAGACTAAAGGGTAGAGGGGATTCGCACCTGGGTGGCCGCCTCACGCAACTGTGTACTCAGAGCCACGTTTTTAAGTGTCTCGCGGGCCTTCGGTTCGCTCAGACCGAGGCCGGTGAAAAGCGCTAGGGAGTCCGGAATAGCCATCGCAGAAACGCCGGAAATCGAAAGAAACTCTGGGCAGACTCTGCACGTTGGCATTCCCCTATCGACCAATAAGAACGAAGTTTCCAAGGAGAGCCAATGGCGTCCTTTTCCTTAGGGAGGGGGCGGGGCCTAAAGGTACGGCGCCATTTAAGGGACTGTGAGCTGGCCAACCGGCCTTTCCGGTCGCCTGCCTTCTGGCTGGGTGGTCTTGTTCCTTAGGAGGGTTCAGGTCTGTGGCACTCGCAGAGGTTTTTCTCTGGCCGGAGGGAAAGTGCTTAGGACCGCGCCTGGAGGGAGACGTAGGCGTGGCCTTTTGCTCAAACTTTATTTCTTTAGCTCTGAGAACCCATCCAGTATTCTGCGGAGTAAAAGTGAGTCACCGTCGCATTTCTGACGTCACAGCTTTAGAGTTGTCATGGAAACAGGGGAACAAACGATAGCCCGTGAAATCCCTTGTCCACGCCACCGCAGAGAATGTGCAGAATGGTTTTTCGAGAGACACCAAGTAAATCTGGCACTTTTTTTTTTTTTTTTTTGTCTTTTTAAGGCAGGGTCTCCAATATGCAGTTCAGGCAAACTTGAATTCAGTGTGTAGGCGAGGTTGGCCTCAATTTACAGCAACCCACCTGCCTCTCCCTCAGTGTTGGGATGACAAGTATTAGTAATCCAGCACTGTTTAGGTGCCCACAGGGATACACTCGTCTAGGAAAGGGAAGGTAATGGGTTTGGGCCAGGAAAGAATTCGAAGTTCTGTCATGACTTAATTATACATCCTAATACAAGCCTTCAAGAATGGGACAGAAAAGATGGAATACTCATGACTATGGCTGTTGTGCTTGAAGTTCTCTCCAGTCTCACCAGACTTCTAGGATCTGATAGCTAAAACAACACACAAACTATATTTTTCATGTTGAGAGTGGGGAAAATTAGCTGTTGATAATAGGATCACAAGGAAACTCTCAAATTTGGGGTTGGGGAGCATGCCTAGAGCTCGTGGTTTCAGTCATACTCTTGGATCTTCAAGGACTGGGTGGGATCCTGACTGCTGTGTAACCACATTCTATGATCTGCTTGCTTTGTGCCCATATCTTGCCAGTGTCAAAATCCTTTGTCTCAGCTTGTATTTGAGTCCTACATGACAATCACATGCCAAGTTTCATACAGGGCTACATGGGTATCCATCGAGATACAATTCTATATCCCAAGGCTTTGAACTTCACTGTGACCACTGGGTACCAGCCTGAGAGCCAGCCCTAGAGTGCACTGTACAATGAAGGCCAGGTGCAAAAGTCAAATAGGGGATGTAGTGCAGAGTGCTGTGGTGAAACACTAAGGAACAGAATTACCAAGGAGCACCCCTAAGCCGTAATAACTAGATAGAGTGACCCACAGCTGTAATCCCAGCTATTCAGGAGACTGAAGCAAGAAAGACTGTGACTTAGAAGCCAGTCTAGGCAATGTAGTAAGACCCATCTCAAAATTAAAAAGAAAAAAGCCACACCAACAACAGCAACAAAAAAATATAGCAGCACACACCTGTAACCTCAGAACTCGGATGCTCCCACAAGTTCAAGTCCTGCCAGGCATAATGCACTGGGGAGGTTCATGCAGAAGGAATGCCAAGAATTTGAGGCGAGCCTAGGCAACAGACCCTGTCTCAAAATAATAAAGGGACCCACCATGGTGGTGCATGCCTGTAATCCCAGCACTAAGTAGGTTTAGGCAGGACTGCTGCAAGTTTGAGGTCAGCCGGGGCTACGAAGTGCTGAGTTTAAGTCCAGCCTTAACCACACGAAAGCCTATCTTTAAAAAAGCATAATAATAGTAATAATAAAAGAGCTGGGAATGTAACTCAATGCAAAGATCCTGGGTTAAAAAAAAAAAAAAGCCCATGATGAACAGAGCCATACAAATTGACTACTACTGCCACTGTTCCCTTGGTACCTGAGTGCGACCAAAGGATTCATTGTAACATGATCACCATCACAAAGTCCTCCAAGTCTGATGGTGGCCTAGGGCAGAACCTGCTTTCCCTGGTCCCCTTATGGCACCCTGTAGTTCCACGTAACAGGATAAACATGTAATATGACCCATGAGGAGTGAGCTGTGATCCCCCAACTGCCCCTCAAACCAAAGCATTTTCATGGTCTCCAATACACAGACACACAAACACACAAGATGATGGAGGACTGGGTAGGTAGCTATAGCATGTAGATTAGTCACTAAGTCGTCTGCTTAGCACCACAAAAGATGGCACTATCCCTAACTTTGAGGCTGAGGGGCACAAGCAAAACCTAGATGCCAAGCTTCATGAGACTGGTTCTGTGGGTTTAGGATGAGATAGCTATAGGGTTGCCAGAACCTTGCCTCATATTCTCTCTGGCTCCTCTAAATACCTTCTTCCTAAGTATCTTTGCTCCCTATCTTCCCCCAGTTAAAGATCATCATCCAATCCTCCAAACAATTGAGTGTAAGGGGCAGCATTATCCAGAGGGAGGCAAGGGGCCTTCTTACATGTGTATATAAAGTTGCAGTGGCACTGAAGGTTGGGTGATATCCTAGGTCAGTTGCCAGGAGCCAAGGTCTCAGGGACTCTTAGGGGAATAGTTTGGAAGGCCCTAGCACCCTCCTATAGGAAATCAAGATTTACCCTGGTCCTGCCTATCTTCTTTTCAGAAGAGGATCTTCCTCAGTCCCCCCACCAATCACATAATCTTTCTCTAGCCAGTGTCTCTAGTGGAGCCAAGGATTTAGCTCAGTGGCATAAGCACCTGCCTTGTAAGCAGGCAGTCGTGAGTTTGATCCCTGGTACCAATAAAAAGCAAAAAGACAAAAAAAAAAAAATGTACATAGTGTCTCTAGTGTCTGTCCAGTATTCTTCAAGATTAGAAATAGAGCCTTTCTACACCCCTACATCCCCAGGCCACTTACTTATTAACTTACTTCCTTATTTATTTTGAGACATGGTCCCACAAGCAACTTAAGTTGCACAAGTTAGGCTTAAGCTTGAGACCCTTCTCTCTCAGTCTAGGGTCCTAAAGTGCTGGGATTACAGTGTACACCACTGCCCATGGGTCTCACAGCAATTTTCTTTCTGCTGTGTTCTCCTCCAAGGACTTCAGACAACAACAAACAAAAATGTAAGAACAGGAAAGGCAGTGGATTGTCCCCTAACCTCCAGTCCCCTACCAAGTCCTCCCCAACTGCTGTCTGTCAGCCACAAGGTGCCTGCTTGCACCTTTCACTCCATGCTGTCAGCTCCACAACTTCATGGAGATTTCCTCCTCCCTAGGTATTCTGAGATCTTGACAGTGACACCAGTTACTTCTACATGAGACTCTAAACCAGTGGAACAACAGGGCATCAGGTAGGCTCCATAGCTGATGGCATGGGGGATGCTTCATGACCCACCAGGGGTGAGCTGTGATCCCCCAACTGCCCCTCTGACTACAGCATTTCAGGGTCTCCAAAACACAGACAGACAAACAGACACACACACACACACACGCAAGATGATGGAGGACTGGGCAGGTAGCCATAGCATGTGGTAGATTAGTCACTAAGTCATCTGCTTATTTATTATTTATTTTTAAAATATATTTAAACAGCAGCAATCACTTTCAAAATGCAAAAAAAAAAATTACAATTTTTAGAATAAAATTATAACATTTATAATGCAGGTCAGGAAGAACTGAAGGTACAACTGAGAATCAAATCACACAGCACTGGAGGCAGCTGGAAAAGCCGAGGCCTACTGGTTGGGGGACCAAGCTAACCAGAGGTCACAACCTATGAGGTCCCCACCCCCCAAATTATACCCCCCAACTCCCCACTGATACAGCCAGTGTCCTCTGATAAAGAGAAGTGGCAAAGAGAGGGCCCTCTGTAGAGGATCCCCAAACCCCATTTCCCATCAGCCAGGGACCTGCTAATCGACCTCCTCCATGTTGCTGTAGGTGGGGGCTGGGCGGTCCACAGGGGGGGCGTAGCGTTCAGGGGCTGTCCGCGTGGGGGCCACCTCTGGGGCCTGGCCAGGGCCTAGTCCCTGCAACAGAATATGAGGACAGGGGTTGAGGGCTGCCCAGTATGCCGCCTGGCATCCCGGGGGTGCTGGCTCAGAGCCCTGGCACCCAAGGGAGGGCCCTAAGGCAGGCGCAGATAGCAGCAGTATTGAGACAGAGAGACGAGATCAGGCCTGAATAGCTTTGCTTTATTAAGGATTTAAATACAGGAAGTAGCTTGGGTAGCACCAAGCTCCAGGCCAAGGGTAAGTGCAGCAGAAGGAGCAGACGGACAGCTAGGTGGATACCCACCCTAGGATACTCTGCCCCTTCAGAGGCCACAGTCCCCAACATCTCCCACCAGATGTACACACTGAGGCCGAAAGCTCAGTGCTGTTCTCCACCACAAAGCACTGCTTGGCGGGCAGACAGGTAGGCCAGCTCCTAGGAGCTGCCTGCAGGTGAGCTCATCTCCAGCGACTCTGAGATACCAGAGGATAGAACACGTTGAGCACAAGAGCCACCAAAGCAGCCACAGTGCCAAGGACAAAGTACCGAAGACAGCCCTCGTCTGGTGTGGTAGGGCCACGTGGTGGGGGACCCACCCAGTCTTGGGGTCCCCAGGGACCCATAGGCCCAGGCCCTTCAGGCACCAGCTCCTCCTCGGCCTCGAGTTCCTGCCAAATCCGGGAAGCCTATGGTATGTGGAAATGACCATCAGCACCCAGGAGTAGGAGGACCCAGTATCCCTGAGACCCCTGGCTAGGACAGCCCTGCCTCTATGACTGGGGCTAAACCCCTGCAGTGCAGATCAAACAGCAGATGAGCAGGTGGTCAGTCTCAGTCTGATCAGATCAGTGTATGAGACTCCTGGGTCTTTTGGCCTCAAAACAGCCTCCCAATCCACACGAAGCTTCTCCTGGGGATGGTGAGGGGTCATTTGGCCAATTTTTGAGTCCCAAAAAGGGACTGCTTCATGGAAGATGGGTCTGCCAACTCCAAGGCAATCTCCTAGGGAATTGCCCATATCCAGATCCTGACCACTGTCTTCTGAGAGCTTCTCCAAGCTGACAGAATGGGATCACGGGAGAAGGCTGGCAGTCCAGAAAAGTGGGAGAACAGTGCCCACAAACTGGGCATATGACACACCATGTCAGTAAGCGAGGGAAGGCCCTGAAGGTTCAACACAGGGAGTATGACAATGGCCAGACACTGACAGGCCCCATCTTGAATGCAAGCCAAAACACAGGGACAAATCTCAAGTGCAGGTCTGCAAGCTAAGATGTGAGGAAGCTGTGGAGAGCTGGGAGAAGTCAGATAGTCTGTTCACAGCACCGTCTCACAGCCTGGTGAGACTCACAGTTGTACTTGACCTCAGCCTTTGTGCATATTACTAGTGGCAGTATATTGTTGACATATACCTTTTGATTTTTTTTTTTTTTTTTAAATCGGTACTGGGGATCGAACTCATGACCACGCTTTTGTAAGGCAGGCGTTTATGCCACTGAACTAAATCCCCAGCCCGACATATACCTTTTGAGTGTCCTCTGAGAGCCAGGATGCCTCTAGATGAGGCTCTCAAGTTAGAGAACCCTTTCTCTAACTTCTGCAGGTCCCAAAGCTTGAAGGACCTATGGCTGGAGGAGATGCTGTATCCCCCAACCCTCCCCCCGAATCTGACTTGGCCCCAACTAGCCTATAAAGCTTCCCCCATGCCTCACCTGGCTGGCAGCAGCCTCGGCTGCAGGGTCTAGGTCTGGGTGATGCTCAGAGTGACCTGCCCTGGGGGGCCTCTCCACAGGAGAGTTCCGTCGGCGGTAGAAGAGTACATAGGCATAACGGGTCACGACCTGGCTCTCGTCTACCGTTGTCACAGTGCTGTCATCAAACAAGCGCCAGCCTACAGCAGGGTAGGAAGAATGTAAATACAACCTATGACATCACCCTTAACACCTATCCTGTTGGCTACGTGTGCCCTCACCTACGTCACTGCGCTGGCTACTGCGATCGTTAGGTAAACGTGCACAGGCCGTGTAATGGCCACCAATCATGCCTCCGTAGTGGTTAATGACAGCATACAGGTCATAGCTGGGCAGTTGCTCCTCTTTCTGACCAATGCAGAACTTGCTCAGGTCCAGGTTCCTATGGTCCCAGTCAGGGAAGGGTGAGACGAATAGTCATCAAGTGCCCGAGGTGCTCCCTGATCCCTGTCCTACCTAGTTATCACGGACCACTGCTCACCGAACAGGAAACTCCACTAAGTCATTGATCTTATCACGCCAGATGAAACTACGGAAGGAGAAGCGCTTGAGCTGCACAATGAGCACATTGGGCAGGCGCCACAACAGCAGCTGTTTGGAGGCTTCCCGGTGCAGTTTGCACTGTGGACAGTACCTAATAAAGGACAAAAAAGGGCTCAGACCCAGGACATTCTCCCTCTACCCTGCCCACCGCCATGCCCACTGCCCTGCTCTTACCAGGCCTCCTCAGGTGCCAGCACCTCAGGCCGTGTGAAGAGGTTGAGACACTGATCCAGGGTGAAGTGGCCAGCACGGGCAGCCTCGCCAGCAGAGCCTGGGTCCTCAGCACATTCAAGCTCCTTGGAAGCCACCAATACAAACTCCTGCAGGCGTTCATTGTTCCGCCAAACCAGAGCCAGGCTACAGTCTTCACCCAGCTCCAGTGGGGTCTCCCCTGTAGACAGGCAGGAACAGAGTCATGCAGCTGTGGAGAGCAGGCAGCCCAACACACTCATGCCTTCCACCCACAGTCTCAGATACCTTTGTCCTCCAGCCGCTGTTCTCGGTTAGATGCGTCAATTTTATAGATGAAGAACTGGGGTGTGTGGGCATTTATGGCTTCACTTGGGTGTTGGTATCCATGCACAGCAGCTACAAGAGAACATGATCATGAGAGTTCTCCTTGCCCACCAGATCGAAACCATCATCCCCAGCCTCACTACCTCCCACCCTAATCCTCAGAACCTCTTGCTGGTTCCTACCTTCAGGCCGGGACACTCTCTCACCAACAGGCAAGGAACTACTTTCAGTGGGCCCACTGGTCAGCATCTCAGAAGAAATTCCACTGGTGCTAGTCACAGGGCCCCGGTCAGGAGCTGCCCACAATCGGGGAACTCCTGTGTCTCCTTCGGCCACCAACTGGAGCTCTGGAGACTGACTAGGCTCCCTCTCACTGTCCCCAGCCTCAAGGGAGCTAGTGGAGAGCAGTGTGGTGCAGCCAGGGCTCTGTGACTCCAAGGCCATCCGGCCAGGCTGGAAGGGTGGCTGGAATACACTCACCGAGTATCTGACAACAGACAGAGATGTAAGTAAGTGCTCACCAGCCCATCTAGTGCCTCTGAGCACCTCTGTTCCTCTACCACCCCATCCTACTCCACCCTCTGGGCACTTACCGGGCATATCCCTCTAGCAACTGGGTGAGACGAGCGTAAGTGAGGCGTGAGGCAGGTACACTGACCAGAAAGGGGTAGCCAATGTTCTCAGGGCGGCAGAGGCCCTTGTGGTCAGGCCAGTGGCTTTTCTGGCAGAGCCTGGAAGGAAGGGGAAGATAAAAACAGGACCTCAGCCCCAGCTCCTCTATACTGGGGAATAGTCTGAGACCCTAAGAATTGGGTAGGCCAGCTCTGCCTCCCCTAGGGTCTAGAAAAGTAGGTTAACAGCAGGAAGGCTTAAAACATATATGCCTTTGTGGAGAGACAGGGCTCAGTGACAAGTTAGAAGGAGAGGAAGGGTGAGGGGAAATCACAGGGGTCCTCACTGGTTGCAGTAGCCCACACGGTAGCACCGGGTACAGCGCTTCAGTTTTTCATCCTCTGACTGCTGCTTCCGCTGGCAGGCTGCACACTTGGAGATGGGGATGCTGGGCACCTGGGGGCGCTAGGGTGGGTCGTTCGACTCAGCAAGGCCAGGGAGGAGTGCCCTCCCCACCAGAGTGCTGTGTTAGCAGGTCAGAGCCCACTCACCTGTTGTACCTCTAACACCACTACTCGCTCCTTAGCCAACTCTGGGGATAGCAGCTCAAAGCAGAGGAGTGTGTCAGATGGGGAAACAGTGTCCAGGGATTGGGAGGGCAGAAACACACGGTGGAAGCGATTCTTAATCACCTGGGACAATGAACATAGATCCCATGTGAAAATAAGCTCTGTTCCTTCAGGCCCTTAGCTCCCCTCCAGACAAATGGCACTGCCAGTCTAAAGGCTAAGAAATTTCAGAGAGGGCCAGCATGTAGATGTGGAACAAAATGACAAAGCAGTAGAAAGAAGAAAAAGCACACAATGGTGGGATGCTTGTAGCTCAAACTCCATAAATAAAAACAGAAAGTTAGGGGTCAACCACCATGAAAGGAGAAACTGACATGGCTGGAAACTAAGGGCACCTCTGTCACACAACCCAGTGCCTGGTTTCCACAGTGCCTCAAACAAGAGCATACCGCCTGTGTCTCTCGTGTGCTCACATGCATATAGCTGCCAATAACCCCACTCATCTATACACACCTATGTCCACAGATGTAAGAGCCTGGGAAAACACAGGCATACCTCAGCCAGGCGCAGGTTCTCAGGCTTCACATGAACACTCTGAGAAAGTGAATCCAAAACTTCACTTGCACTGGAGTTCTCCTTGCTAACACTCACCAGGAACTGTGGTGACAAGGGTGGAGTCAGTAGGTGAGCCAGGTTCCAGAGGACGACCCAGTGGAAAGATGCTTACTCCTCACCTTGATGGGTTTGCAGTGGGGCTCTCGGGCAAAATAAAAGATGGGAAGAACTTTTTGCTTTTGTGGCAAGGGCACCGGCAGATAAAGGAATGGGTCAAAAGTGATGGAGACCTGTGAATACAGATGGCACTAAGGTATTGAAAGAAATGATACTCATGGACAGAAAGCTTCATCCAGGCCTTCTCACATCTCTCAAGACCCTTACAACCAACCAGCAAACTCTCATTAACAATAAATGGAGCAGGAAAGCACAGTCCCATTTTTTAGTAGTCTTCCTGGCAGCTTAACCACTTATTCGGCTTTGTTTTTTCACCTACAACCCCAGGTATCTTTCTGATCTTACCCACAAATCCTGCCACACCTTTGCTATACCACACCTTTAAACCCTAACATTGCCTTTACCTCACTGAGGAAGCCTACCCTACCTGATCCCTTCTGCCAGGGAGCCCAAGGTCTCACTGCCAGCTTCCTTCCCCCAGTGTGGCCCAGAAGGATCTAAAAATGCGTATTTCTCTGGACCTGATCTCACCCAGCAAACTGAGCCCAACTAGGACCACTTCCTTTTCCCTTTCTGCAGTGCTGGGGCCAGGGGATCTCTTTCGAGTGAAGTCCATCACACCTTGGCACACACAGGGCACACCAGCTTGGATTTATATTGGCCCTGAAATAGGTCCACGATGAAAGAGTCATTCCTCATCTTGTGCCGCTGCCATGCTTCTGCAGCCACCACCTGAGGAAGACAGTGGTGACAACCAAGGACACCTAGGGGCTAAGGTGCACACAAGACATACTGGCCCTGACCTCCACTCTAACCTCATCAGGCCGCCCATCCGAGTCCACAGTCTCTGTGTAGGGCTTGTTCTGGATTCGATTCAGGTCCTCATGTAACCCATCCAGCAGGAAAGCCATGAACTCCTGTGCATCATGCTGGGCATAGCCTGTGAACTGGCTGGCCTTGCTTGCCACAATGGCCTGGATCCAGGAGCCAAGGTGTGAGTGTGAAACCTTACCACCCCCTCTCCGCCCTGCCGGCCAGCCCTCCCTGCCTTCTCCCGATCACCTTCAACTTGGAAGGCTGAAAGGCATGGTGAGTGCCCTTCCACAGTGCACGAAGCAGCACAGCAAAACCAATGGCCAAACGCCCACCAGTCCCCAGCGGGTTGTTGTAGTTGATCTCAGCCTCAAAGGAGCGGTCTAGGAATAGCAGCCAAACGGAATTGTGAGGGCTAAAGGCATCGCTTCTGCCTCTACCCCAGGCTGCTGGCCCTAACCTCACCGTGAAAGAAATCTCGAAGTTCCCGAGTATTGGACAGAGACTGAATGACGCTGTTCATGAAGCATGTGTTGCCTAAATTGACAAGGCCAGTGAAGCCAGGGAGACACACCTTCTTCTCCTCCTCCTCTTCTTCCTCCACACTGTCTCCACTCACAGGGCTGTGGGGCATTGGAGGCACCATACATGTGGGCTTGGGCTGTGGAAGCAGAGATGTGAGAAAGCGATCTGAGGCTCTCCAGCCTCTACTCTTTGTTTTTTGTTTTTGGATGGGGGTGGGTGGGTAGGGAAACAGGCTGCTCAGTCAATGATTCTCCTGTCTCAGCCTCCCAAATCCTGGGATTATAGGTATGTACCACCACACCCAGCTAGCCTCCATTTTTAGCCCTTCCCACACCAGGAGTCTCACCGAGGCCAGGTGTGGTTCCGGCTTTGTGGATACATGCTCCAAGGGCGTGCGGACAGCCATGCTATCTAGCCCCACATCCTCAGATCGAGCCTTAGCTTTGTCTTTCTCCACAGTTCGGGCTTCCTCCTGGCCTGTCAGGGGGTGTGGAGGACCTCCTGGAGGGGCTGACTCCAGAGGAGTTGGACCTGTCGGCACGGCAACCTTTGCACCACCCACTGCACCTTAAAAAGGGGGAATGAGGGGGCTGGTGGTTAGCAGCATGTGGCAGGAAAGGGGGTCCCTGGTCATGCAGCGCTGGGCAATGATGGGAGCTCGTATGCAGACCTCGTGCAGCTGGGGCCTCCAGGCCCCCCCAGCGCTGACTCTGACGCTTATGGAGGCAGATGTCGATACGAGAAGTCGTGAAACAGAAGGTGCACTGCTCTGGCTCAATGAGGTTCCTGCAGGAAAAGGCTGAGCTCAGGGACTTGGGTAAAGGAGGCTTCAAGTTTGACAGGCCACAGAGGTGGAGCCCCAGGTGGGACAGGTACAGTGACAGGGCCGAGCACCACCCACCTGAGCTTCACCTGCCATCGGAAGATGGTGTGGGGCCCACAGCCTGGATGCAGCCTCAGAAAGTTTCCATCCCTGTGGACCAGAGCAGGGCAGGAAAAAGGACAAAAGGAAGAGAATGAGATGTGAGGCCTCACTTGAGGTACACTGTCTGCCCCAGCTCCTACCCAACCACCCACCTGGTCTGGAAGATGAGTGTGAAGTCCTGCTCCCGGAAAAGTACTCGAGAGGTGTCCCTTTGGATCTCCTTTACATACACGTGCACCACCACTGAATCCGGCCCCTTCTCGTATGAGTCATTCTTAACAAATGCCAGGTTCACCATGGACTCAGGCTCTATGTTGAGACCATAGTTCAGTACCCAGACAAGTTTTAGCCTATTGCTAGTTTACTCCCTACCCACCCACCAACCATGCAACCCAATTTAGGGCTCTGCCTGCCCACTTCCAGCCCCACCTTTACCGTCTGCCAAGTCTGTAACATTTGCAGCTCCTGCCATATCCTCTTTGACACAGCCATCTTTCCCAGGGTCTCTGACTTGGGATATGGCTGAGGAGACTGTGTCATTCCTGGGAAACACTGCCTTCTCTCCTGACAAAAGGGCTAAATTTGTCTCTGAGCCCAGAAGGCAGGTTTTGGGGTTCAGTGGTGGTACATGGAGATGTTCCTTAGCCTCAACCTATTCATGGCAAGATTGTGGGCAGAATCAGCCTTAGGGTGATCCACACACTCCCCCACCCCCACCCCAGCACCTCCTAAGAACAAAACAAGTATCCAGCTCTCACCTGGGTGTCCGGATCAGCCAGGAAGGATGGGGCATCACCCTGGGGTCCAGGGCCATCCCTGGACCTTTCCCCCTCTGGCCCTCTGCGGAGATGCACAGCCCTCTTGGCGCTGGGCCCTGCCTGGACCCCAGGGCCGGCCCCTGAGCCTACCTCACCACGACCCTGGGCTCGCTTTTGGTTCCGGGCCTCCTGCTTAGCCCGGCGGGGCTCAGGGCCTGGCTCTAGGGCAACAGGAGACAGCTCCTGTCCATTCTCTTGGGACCACAGACCAGTTGCCAGTTCCTGGGTCTCTAGAGGTTTCTTCTGCCAAAAATACAAATAATCAAGCCCTAACGACTACACTGAGTATCCCCACCCTACTCTGTACTGAAACTCACCAGGAGAGAGGGCCACGTGAGCAGAGGCACCTTCTTGGGCAATGCCAGCTGCAGGAGACCACCCTTGCGGGCCTGTACTTTAGTACAAGAACTTTCTATTTCAGCATAGAAGACACCACCCCACTGCTGACCTCCTGGAGACAGAGTAGTGGCAGTGAACTGGGGGACAGGGATAATTAGAAAATTCAAATAACCTATTGCACTTAGGGCAGATGGACATACCTGGAAACCGCACCACACAGTCTGTGTCTGTGAAGGCAGCATCCACCTCCTCCAGCCGCAGTGGACCAGTTCCCACACGAAGCTTGATGATCACCTCATCTGCACTCTGCCTCCAATCAAGCAACAACTCTGTAAGGGGAGATGACAAGTGTCTTTACCAGCCGATGATGGGGATGAACCCATACCAGAGACTCAGCCCTAATGAGTGTGTTCCAAAGTGGGAACCCCATTCCTTGTGCTACCTCACCTTTCTTAGCACTTCAAAGTCTCATTCTCTACTTACCTTCTTTAATCTGTTCCTCTCGAGGAGTGGACAGTGACCCTAACAACAAAGGAAAGACCAGGGAGGCAATGATAAGGAGCCAGTTTCCTAGACCCCACCACCTCAAGACACCATCTTCTGGATCTCAGCCAAGTAGCAAGTTCAAAACCGAGGCTTCACCCAACCTGCCATGGGGCATTCAGTCAGCACCAAACCAAGACAAAGGGAGTGGCAAAGGTCATTGTATGTCCAGTTAGAGGGAAAGAAAAGGAAGCTATGAACACTCAGGGACTGCCACTCCCACCTCTCCTAGGATCTCCATCCTTGCTTTCCTGGTTTGCTCGGTCCTTCTGCTTCTTCTTACTAGTAGCCTCCTCCAGTCCTGGGGTCCCTCTCCTTGAGCCCGTGGCACTGGCCCCTCCAGACATCTTCAGCCGCTTGGTTGACAGCCAGAGTGCCCCGGGGTCGGCAACAGCAGCTGGGTCAGGGCTGCGGCGCTTTCTTCCTGGCCCGGCTATCTTGGCAACTCTTTGTGGCTAAACTCTCCAGCAAGGTACTTACAGCCTAATGAAAAGGGACCAGTGATCACTGCCAAGGCCCAACAACTTGCTGCCTGGCTACAGTCAGGAATCAGCAATCCAAGGCTCAGTAATCCAGGAAACTCCTAACCCTACAGAGCAACATCTCATTACTTAAAGGAGCCCTGAATATTCTCAGGCTATTCTGAATCTCCTTATACTTGTTTCAATAGAATCCCAAAAGTGGAAGCCTCTCGGAGGAGGCAACAGGTCAAGACGGTCATGGCCTGAGACCAGACTCGTCCTCTGAACAGGAGCCATGGCTCCAGCCCACAGGGCTAGCTCTCTTGGCAGGGTGCTCTCTTTTCTTCCACTCTCACTGGCTACTTAGTCACCCTTAGGAAAGTAGAAGGTAGAGGAGGAAGGAAGGAAAGGCAGACACCATCAGGCAGCAGGAAAGCCAAGCTGTGGTTGAAAATGGGTCCAGTCCTGCTGTTTACTGCACAGCAAAGGTCCCGGTTCTAAGGTGTCCCATTGGCCTCCTGCCAGCTCCCACCTTTGTCATGAACCTGCTGCTATGTACTATTTGGTCTTTCTCCATCCCAAGGAACAACTTTCTGCCAGCCAGAAAGGGGCTGACTCCAGTACTGAGACATGACAGGCATCCAGCTTGAGATCAGAATAGACATCAGCTTCTTTCCTAAGTCCTTTCACTCAACGGCAGCTCTGGGCCACAGAGTCTTTCTACCTAGTTGCCCAAGGGACTGCCAGTGAATTCTGGGCAGCTTCACCATCTAAAAGGAAGTTCTCAAAATCAGATACTGAGATGAGGGTGGGAACAAACCACAAATGCAAGACTCTGGTCAATCTCAGGCCCTGGCCTGAGCAGGTAGCAAGATTTACAGTAACTAATCTATATGTTCCTGGGGGGTTGGGGTCAGATGTGGCATTGGTGAGCTGGATCTTTAATAACAGGTCCAGAGCTGTGAGGTGGACAACTGCTTCCTTCTCATATCAACATCTCTGGCGCAGGTCGCATCCCTCCCCCATGCTCGAGGACATTAAAGCAGGAAAGGGGCTGTCTAGAGACCCGAGCTGGCTGGATAGGCCTCTGCAAAGTTCCTGACCACAGCCCAGCGTCAACCTCCGAACCCCGGGCCCATCCCAACCTCCTCCAGGAAACAGCCCTCGCTCGCCGCCAGTACTCTCTGAGAACGGAGGCCGGCCACCAGAGTAGCGTAACGGTTCTCCCAGCCTCGGTGGGCCCGGCACACCGTGGGGCTCGAGATGTCGGGGCTGGCACAGCCCGTGACCTTGAAGAAGCTGCCCCTGGCCTGCGCAGCAGCCTCCTCGTTGCGGCCACACCGGTGATTCGGGCCCGCCCCACTCACCAAGCGAGACAGCCACCGCCAGCCCTCTCCAGGCCCTGGCAACCCGCCCTCGATTCCGGTTCCGGCGTCAGGTCGGTTCCGGTTCCGGCGCGCCCCCCTCCGTCCCCCCGTGCCGGCGCTGCTAACGCCGCCGCCGCCGTCGCAGTCTTAGCTGCTTGTTTTGTTTCGACTTCCAGTTACGGGCTGCGGCTGGCGGGGCGCCAAACCAGTGACGCACTTCCGGGGGGGGGTGGGCGCTCCGGATGTGCAGCGCCGGCCTCCTGAGTGAGGAGGAGGGGCTGCGGTGCTTTGTCCTCCTGGAGCACTCCCTACTGCAGTGCTTGTCCCGAGAGTCCAGACAACAAACACAGCAAGGGTTCACACTGGTTTATTGGCGCCTTGCCAGGCGGAAATCTCTTTAATGTGGAGGCAGACAGAAGCGCCTTGTGGAGTTCTGGAGGGTGTAGGCTCTGGGCCGGGGTCACTGGCAGGTGTTGTAAATCTGGACTTGCAGGTTTATGGCTTGAAGCACATCGCGCATCCTGGCCTCCAGCCCGTCCAGCTGAGCCGCCTTGTCCTCCAGGGCGCGCTCGTTCTCTTTGTAGGTGCCCTCCAGTTCTGAGGAGAAGAGGGTGATGAGAAGGTATCAGTTTAAGGATCTTTTTCCAGTCCCACCTCTGGCTCCTACCCACACACTTCTTCTCACCCTGTAGTCGCTGCAGCTTGTCCTGAGCCACTTGCAACAGGCCCCGAGCTTCATCCCGCAGTTGTTCTGCCCTTGTCTGTGCCGCCAGCACACCCTCGGCCTTGCGTTCAGCTAAGGCCTTCACTGTTTGGTACTGATCGCCTACTGGGCCCTGCAGCAGCTGCGGATGTAGGGGACAGCCTCAGGATGGAAATAGCCCAGTGGGAGCCTTTTAACTTACTCCTTCAGCTGGCTCTGCCCAACCCACCTGCTCAGCCTCCTGGGCACGAGTGTGGGCACTGCCTGCTGTTTCTTCAGCTGTAGAGGCCGCCAGGCTGTTTCCTGCCCATTTCAGTTTGAGACCCTCCAGGAGAGCATCTAATTGCTGAGCCCGCTCACCTGCAGAGCTCAATGCCTGCTCTGTACCTGTCATCCTCTCTTGTACCTGCCATGGGTGAGCCCAGAGTTAAACAGATTTTAGTACAAGCCCATAATCTAACCCCACTGATGTCCTAACGAAACCACACCTGGTGCAGGGTCTGCTCTATGTTCTTTGTGTCAATCACTGCTCCCTGGATAGCACCCTGGGCAACACCCTGTGCCCGCAGGGCTTCTTCTAGTGCTTTTTGTACTGTTTCTGCCTTCTGTTTCTCAGCCTCAGCCCAGCTCCTGAAGAAAAGAGGAAATTAGGGTTTACAGGTACCAGGACCAGGTGTCAGGGATAGGGACCAGAACTTGGGTAGAGGTCAGACCGTGCCCGCTGTGCATCCTGCAGAAGCTGCTCAGCCCGACGCACATCTCCCACAGTATGCGCCAGGATGGTGTCCACATCCTCTAGGTTCTGGACCCGCTCTGCAATTTCACTTGCCAGGTGCTGGATCTGCTCAGGTGAGGCTGGGATGGAGAGTTCTAGCACCCGCATGGCCACCATCTCAATGCTATCAGGATCTGCCCCCTCCTCTATGGGGACACAGACACAAGTTTAAAGAGAAATTCTCCAGCATGAGCATGGAAATATAATATTGGAGTATGTACTCAGATTTGTTAATAAGCATAAGAATGCAACCGGGGAAAGGGACTATACAGAGGGCAAAAACTCAGCAAGGAACATGTACTGGGAGTCCAATTTTGGGCAAGGCCTCAAGGACCAGACATGGAGTCATAAAGATAGATTCAGTGTAGGCTCTGAGATACTAATATGAACCTTGAGAGACATACAAACACAGAAGGCACAACCACATGGCCTGGGGCACATGGAAAGCTCACGGCTGAGGAAATCCTTGACACTCTGGATAAGTTCTCGAAGCTCCTGATTAGCCTGCTCCACCTGTCCCCTGGAAGCATTCGCCTTGTCCAAGGCTGCCTGAGCCCGCTGCTGTGCCTCATCTGCTTGCCGACGAGTCTCAGCTACTTGACTGAGGATGCCACCACCTTCTACCAGTGCCCGCTGCAGCTCTGCCTGTGTGTGCCGGGCCCGGGCCAGTGCTAGGTCTGCTGTAGCTGCTGCCCCACTGCAGCCGAGGCCCCCACAGCGGGGCTGCCCATCCTCATCCCGACAGCTGGCACCTCCACAAGGGCTGGTAGCACAAGGTTCATCCCCAGGGGCCCCACACACCTGCCAGGCACACAAGTCAGGGCTCTGGGGGAGTGAACACCCATACCCACCTGTCCCACCCCACACCTGCACCTCACCAGTTCATTTATGTCTGTCAGGCTCAAGGTATGGGTATGGGCAGAGAGCTCACTCAATGCCCTCTGGTTAGCCAAGTGTCTGCGGTTGAAGTCTTCCCTCTGGGCACCCATTAGCGCTTCTGTCCGATGCCTGGTATCTGCTGAGTTGCTCACAGGGCTGGGTACTGATAGGGTTGAGGTGTTGGCACGACGTTCTGCCTCTGCAGACTGGCTGTAGGCATGGCGTATGCTGTCATAGGCACCTAAATTGGACAGAGTCAGGCAGTCAGCTGAAGATCAGTGCTGGTCCACCTGCCTACTTAGCTCACTTACCCAGGAAATTTGAATGCTTAAGCAAGTCCAGGTGCTGGTCAAGCTGCCTCAGCGTGAGATTAAGTGCAAGCCCATCTCGTTCAAGACTGCTGAGTGCATGGTTGGCATTGAAGTTCTCATCTTGCACATTGGTCAGCTCTGCCTCCAGCCGAGTCAGCTGCTCAGTGGCCTCCCCAATTTCACTCCTGCATCAATTGGAAGTGTATTTAGAGAGGCTGTACCCCTGGTCCACTGGTCCTCTGCCCCATCTCACCGTATATCCTCTGGCCCATCCGCACCGTAGATCCTCTATGGCTTCCACAAGCTGTGCAGTGGAGGCAGCTGAGGTGTTTCGAGCACCCACAATGGCCTGCACCATGCCCAGCTTCTCCTGAATGTGCCGGAAACTGCTCTCAAAGGCACCCAACACTCCTGTCTGCTGCAGCTCCTGAGCCCATTGCTCCAGGCGTTGTGTACGAGCAGCCAAGTCCTGCACAATTCGATCCCAGTCCCCAAAGCATACATGGCAGGGGTGGCAGGCAGGAAAGACACCTGAGAAGCCCCGGGCACACTGATCACAGCGCACACCAGACACGCCTGGGCGACAACTACAGTGACCAGTAGAGCGGTGACACTGAGGTGTGTCTATCCCACGAGGGTCACAATCACAGGCTGCAAGAAAGGGCAGATCAATGAGTTAGGGTCCCTGTGAAACATCCTGGGAGGTCCTCCTTCCACCCTGGCACCCCAGATGCCTCACCACGGCACTGTAACCCAGGGTCTCCCCAGTGGAGCTCTTGACACTCAGAACAACTCCGCCCACCGAAGCCAGCATGGCAGTTGCACTGCCCTGTGAACTAGAGAACAGAACAAAGTCAGAGCCTTGACCAGAGGCTGAGCCTTTGAGACCAGGTAGACAACTGGCTCCATCTACCCAGGAATCTGCAGGAAGGCTCCATACCTCATTGCAGGTGGGGCTTCTGGCCCGGGTTAGGTGGCAGGCACAAGGCTGACAGCCACGACCACTGGTGAAATTCCAAAAGTTGGGGGCACAGCGGTCACAGCTAAGCCCTTGGACATTGGGGAGGCATGGGCACTGCCCACTGCTTAGGTCACATTGGCACTGGTCAGTAGATGGGCATTGCTGGGGATTTGTGCCCAAAAGGTTGCAGGTGCAGCCTGTGCCAGCCAAGAGAAGCATAGTGGTCAAGGGGAGCCCAAATAGTAGAACCTCACCTCCAGCTTTCCCTCCTGTACCCATACTCACGGTGACAGCTCTGGCGGGTAGCCTGCCCATGGAAGCCAGGCTTGCAGTATGCACAATGTGGCCCTTCTGTGTGGTATAAACAGCGTAGGCACTGCCCTGTGCGGGGGTCACAGGCATCAGGGTCCATGGGGTCTATGTTTCCACTACACTCACATGGTAGGCACCTGCCACCTGGCCTTGATGGGTCTCCAAAGTGCCCAGGGGCACAAGTGTCACACCGCAGCCCTGCCAGTGGTCAAAGGGAGATACTTAAGAGTTCAGCCAGCCACTTCATACTGATCCTGTGCCTGTCCCCTACCCACTCACCTGTGTAGCCTGACCGGCAGTGGCACACAATCTGTTGGGAGTACCCATCCCTGTGGCAAGAAGTAGCAAAATTCCGCTGGCTCTCAGGGCCTTCAGGGCAGGGGCAGGGCCGACACTGGCCCCCATATGGCAGCTGTGGGTCCCCATAGAAGCCAGCAATGCACCTGCCAGGACATAAAGAAAGAGAGATGTATCATCCCCAGGTAGACTGCCTCCCCACCACACACACACCTCCCTCACAGCTGTTTTAAGCTTACCTTTCACAGTGTTCTCCTCCTGTGTGATCACGGCAGTTCAGGCAAATGCCTGTGTGAGTGTCACATTCATCTGCATGCCCATTGCAGATACATGGCCGGCAATTAGGGAATCCCCATTGGCCACGCTGGCAGTGGTCACAGCGAAGCCCAAAGGCACCAGTTCGGCAGGGACACTGCCCAGTAGTTCCTTCACATAGGCCACTGAGTGCCCCCTCAGGGCTACACTGGCAGGCTGAGGCAGAGAAAAGGCTGGGCTGGGGGAGAAGGTCTTAGGGGAGTCTGGGTAGGGTGGGAAGGTCATGGGAGGAAAGAGAACTGCAAAGAATCCAGGGTTGAAGAGGATAAAGTCTAGGGCAGAGTTAGAAAAAGCAGAGCCAGAAGGAGAAAAGAGAGCAGTAGTGGGAAGCTGAAAAGAAGAATAGGAGGGAGCAAAGGGCAAACAAATACCTTGACAGCCTGCTGGACCAAAACCATAGTAACCAGTGGCACAGATGTTACAGCG